GAGTTTAGCTCCTGCTTGTCCTCTTGTCCCCCTTATGGCACTTGCTTTTGAAAGGCCCCTGCTTTTATGCAGGGAACCTTTGAAATCAGTGCTTCAGAGTCTTTGAAAGGAACACTCAAACAAGCTCTTATGACTGAAAAGTGGATCAATGAGATTATTTCAATTTGTTTGCAGCAGAATAAGTGCAAAATGCAAAAGTGTTGAGAGCCTAGACAATTCCAAAGCTTTTTAGACAGGAGTGGCCTCAGCAAATGCATAAACAAGACCCACGGGAAGCTCAGGGCTGGACTCCAGCAGCCCTGCTTTCCCCTTTGCCAAGGACTGGTGAATCACAGGCAAGAAGGAAACCAGAAAACCCAAAGCAACTCTAGAACTGAATTTTATTCTTTGTTCCTCAGAACCATCCCTGTTTTGACAATGATGCATATGAATGATGGCTCTTGCAAAGCCTGGATGTGCCTGTGGTACAATGTGTGGCTTGAGTGAATTCAAACAGGTGTTTTAGGGTGGGGCCACCAAGACCAGTTTACCTGTGCAGCTGCCACTGTCAGCACAGAGAGCTTTTGGAATTGTGAGCCCTGTTTTCAGCCAGCACAGAACATCAACACTATGGTTTTACACTTACTTAATCAGTCATGTGGGTGTAATACATTTTGCTAATATTGGACTGTGCTGAGGCCTCAGAAATTGTGTTAGTTCATGCTGTTACATCTGAATTTCAGGAGTCAGAATTTCAAAAGTGGAATTAAGCTAAGATGTGTTTTGATACTAGCTTTTGCATTAAACTCCCTAATATGCAGTGAGTATTGAATACTGTTTATATGGATATGAATCGATTCTAGCTTTTTGACTAAACACACTTTTTTGTTATTTAAAAGGACTAAAAATACTGCTGGTTTTTGTGGCATTTTGAAATCTATTTGTAATATCTGTGAAGCTGTTGTACTTACATATTCTCTTTATTTTACTTTTGATGCCATTCAGTTGTTAATGCCAGCTTTTGCAGAGGTGCTGTGCATTTTGGGAGCTGGTGTTCAAGCATACAGCCATTATGAAATCCTCACAGAACTCTTCACGTTTAAAGAGGTAATGGACACATCTTCACAGGATCCATTTATTGTTCTCTGTTATGTTTCAGGGTTTAATATAAATAAAGTACAGGCAATGAAGTTGTGTGAGGTGTGGCTGGGATGGAGCTGATGTTCTCCCCAGCCCTCCCAGTGCTGTGCTTTGCACTGGCAGCTCGAAGGGTGCTGACACCACCTCAGTATTTTGGCTACTGCTGAGCAGTGCTCCCACAACACCAAGGCTGGCTCTCCAAAGTTCCTGCCTGTCATACTTTGATAAGCTTTCTGTGACTTTTGCTTAAAAGTGTTTATTGGAAATATTTTCATTTGAGAAGGAGCTGTTACTCTGTTATGACAAAACAGTTGCTGAAATGTAGCTGGACACTCATGAATTTAGTGATTTGTGTGGTGAGAACATTAAATGGAAACAAAAGCCCAACCTTTAGGATACATGTGACTATCTATGAAAAACTGAGACCAAGTATTCTGTTTCAGCAAGGAGAAATTCTCCAAGCTCCTCTGTCTGTTTTCATTTCCTTTTCCCCTTGCAGGTCAGGATATGGAATCGCAGCAAGGAGAAAGCAGAGAAGTTTGCCAGCTCTGTCCATGGTCCCGTGCGGGTTTGCTCCTCTGCCCAGGAGGCCGTTGTTGGGGCTGATGTGATTGTAACAGTCACCATGGCAGCAGAACCCATCCTGTCTGGGGCCTGGGTAAAGCCAGGTGCCCACATCAATGGTAGGCTGTGTTCTCATTGTGTACAGGATGTGTTTATTATCATTGCTTGGCATCAACATCTGTTGAAAGGCAATTCTGTGTCCTTGGACTGAATGTTCTTTTTATTTTGACTTTTCCTCTTTAGTGAGGACCACTCTTTTCCCTGGTGGTGCATCCTCTTTGCCCTCATGTTGTCCCTTATTCTTACCTTGCTCTCCATTTAAATGACCCACTCAAACTTGTTATTTCCTCAGTGGTTGCTGCTCATTGTACTATTTCCCTGGTAGTTGTCATCTTTTCTTCCACCAATTTTGTAGCCTCTCTGTTTGTTTCTTTTTGGGCTGATCACATTGATTTCCTTTTTTGCCTGAGTTACAAAGATGGAATAACTGAGTTAAGTACTTCATAATTTGTCCTGTAATTTTGGTGAGGTTTGGGGGGTGCTTTTTGTTGTTGTTGTTGCCTGCCATGTAATGATGTTACCACACTATTGTTTGGAGTCTCTGGACATGCCCCTCTTTGTTTATTTTGATTAATTGTGGGCCTGGTTTAGATGACCTTGTGGCCTTTCCAGATAGCAAAGTAACAAGACAAAAGCAGCTTCTCCAAGGGAACCATTTAAAGAATGGTCCCACATTCCAGCAGCATCCTACCAAATTTTCAACCTCAATTTAGTCCTTTGTCATTGACAGTTGTTGTCTGTGTTGTGTCATGGCATGGAAGCCAGAAATACAACCCAAATCAATTAGGGTCCAGAGTCACTGAAGCGACACAAAGACTTCCCTTCTTTCTTTACCTTTTTTTTTTTACCCTTCATTGAGGCATTTGTGTTGTTTGAGGAGGCATTGTGCAATGTGCAATTTACTTTTCCATAACAGTTGGATACTTAAGAAAAATATGATTACAGTATAACTGTGTGATTGTTTTACTTTCTGCTGGGTTTCTTGTTTGTTTTTTGAGGCCTTAAGAAGTGGATATTGATCTTGGTGCTGTGTGTAAGAAGTTAAGCTCCTTGATTTGTTTTCAGTTTCTCCAGATAAATGAAAACCTGTAGTCTGTTCAACTTGTACTGCTTATAAAGTTACAAGGTTACCCAGAGTCCACTGACAAGGATATTCTACTCACAAATCAAACATTGAATGCTTTTTCATTGTCTTATCAATCAACACATCTCCATGGCTAACATGGATTTTTTGTATGTTACATTTCCACAATAATGTCCATTGTTATTTCACACACGTCTTTTGAACAACATGTGGTTTGAATTTGTTTTAAACATTGCTCCCAAGTTTATCAGTTTTGTTGTCTTAGCTATTGGTGCAAGCAGACCAGACTGGAGAGAATTGGATGATGAACTGATGAAGAATTGCTTTCTGTTTGTGGATTCCAAAGAGGCTGCTCTTACTGAATCAGGAGATGTTATATTATCAGGGGTAAGACTTTTGTAAATGGTAGGCTTTATTTTTGTGGCAATTGGCTACAAAATGAGTGTGTTTTGATGATGCTCTGCACTGAAACTTTTGTATTTACTGTTACATGGCACCATATTACAGTAGCAGGTGCTCAGCATAGGTCTTTGGGTATGAAAACAATGTATTGTTTTTTGAAAGACCTGCATTTCCTGCAGTGTTTGGTTGTCTCGATTCTTCAAATCTGTTTATTAAAACCTGTAACTTTCTTCCCATAAGATTTCAGTGTGATTGACACATCAGGCCTCTGGGGAATGGACCACACAAGCTGAGCAGACAGCGTTCTGCACAGATTTGACAGCAGGGACTCTTTTAGGTTCAATGGCGTTTTCTTTTTCTCTTCTAATGTTTCTGCAGAGCAAATGTGATTTACACTTTTGAAGTTTAACATCAGAGCTCTAGATATGGTAATGTGTGTGGGATCCCATGTGTTTTGTTGGATAAGTAACAAGCTATCCACTGTAACAAAACCTTACTGACTGAGGAAAGTGTGCCAGCTGTTTTTCTTTGGAAACCATTCTGCTTCTCTGATTTCTGTCCAGTTTCTATATTATTTGCCTGAATACTGATCTGCTTCACCATGGAAAAGAATCAGTTTTGGCATGCAGAGCTGGACGATTTCTTTATTCTGAAGTCACTCAGGGAAAAAAAAAAAAAGGGTTTTTTCTCTTTATGTATATTATGATTTTGAATAAATATGTATTTTTTTGACAGGCAGAGATTTTTGCTGAGCTGGGAGAGGTACTGAAGGGTACAAAACCAGCCCTGCCTGAGAAAACAACAGTGTTTAAATCCTTGGGTAAGAAGAGCCCCTTGTGTGTCCAAGTGTGACAGGAAACAAAGCCTTGTTATTTCTGGGGTCCCCCGTGCGTGGGAAAGCTGCTGATCATCTTCAGAGCTGCCGTGGCCACGCACTGTCCACAAGGAAGTAGGGTGTGATTTGCATTTTCCCTTTTGATTTCCCTATTTGTTTGTCTGGCAGGATTGATGTAATGAAAAGTGATGGGAAAGCAAGCAAACAATAGGAAGTCCATTTTCCATTTCCCAGTGGTTCAGGACATGAGTGCAGCATTTCTGAATCCAGGTCCAGCCCCAGTGCCCTGCTGCTGCACCCACGGGGTCTGTCTGACCCACAGACAATGTGCCAGTGGGATGTGGGGCTGATGTTTGGGGAGAGAGCAGGAGTGGGGATGAACTGCCATTCTCTGAGCTGGATGACATCCTGAAAGGGCCAAGTGGTGATGTGAGCACTGAAAATGAGATTCCTACTTAGGTTCCATGAATGTCCTAGGGCACACCCAAGAGTTCCATGATGGCCATAGGCTTTGAATGTAACACTGCAGGTGTTTGGGATGGGGAATAATTGCTGTTCCTGCCCACTTAGATAATTTCCTGAGTCCTTCTGTTGCCTCCTGAAGCTAAGTTGTTGGTACAGCTGAAGAACTGTTTGAAGGTGCCTTTAATTCTTTTTCAGGGCTGGCGGTTGAAGATGCAGTAGCAGCAAAATTTGTTTATGATGCGTGGTCAGCTGCAAACTAAAGGGGAAGTCTACAACACCAATGAGGCCAAGAGAATGGTTTGCACTTGGTTTCCTTGGATCCTTTGTTAACAAGAAAGGCACCAATCTCATCTGAAAGTAGCCCTTCTAGAACACTCAAGAATTAAAAGTAAAAATTCAGCAGTTGACTGATTTCTCAAGTTTTCTAATTGCAAATCTTAGATACCTGCAGTATTGCTAATAAATGTATCTCTCTTGTAACAACAGGTATTAGATGTTTGCAGTGATACTAACCAGGGTATCTTTCCATATTTTGGTGTCATTCTGGAATCAATGCCTTCCTCCCTAATTATTTATGTTTTTGCCGTCTTTCCATAGATTTTGTGGTTTTTTGACAGTTAATTCATACTGGGGTTAAATACATCAGTTTGGAGAATGGACTCTGGCATCATATTTGCCTGTGATGGTACTTTAAATGCAGCTATGGGTCTCAGTTCTCCAGTGACAGTAACCTTGTCTCTGGTCTCCTGGGAACACAGCCCAGCTCTGACTCCTGGACATCCCTTCCCTTCCAACTTACACTGGGATCTGGAAGTCACCATTTTTATTTTCACCCCTTGCAATCCACCTTCCCCACCCCCAGACCCAGTGGTTTTTCATTTAAGAGCACAGGTCTGAGTGGGAGTTTATATACATAATTATGCCTCCACACTGTTAGATTTCCTCTCAGTACTTCCCTTAGTTCATTCCTCTGTGGGATACTGCCATTTTCATATGAGAACTAAAATGTGTTTTAACTTTTATCTGTGTTCTGTGGGGAGATTTTGCTATTAACCTATGGTGCCTGTAAGTTCTAAGTTTCATGAAGGTTGGAACCACACAAACTCATTTCTGTATGGTAAACTTCAAATGTACAGGCAAATATTTTCAGTTTGGCTGTGCCATGCCTCGATTAGTAATTGTTCTATTATCCCAAATATTAGCTGGGGCAGGAATTTTCATGATCCTTCCCTGGCAGAGGAACCCTGTGACATAAGGAAGAGTTCCAGTTTTGTGTTGTTATGCAACTGCCTTGCAAAAGATCGAGCATCTGCTGAAAAATAGCTATTGCCCTGGAAACAAATTCCTGTCTCAGGCTAGAGCTGTGCCTTGCAAAATTTTATTTCTATTTGCATATTATTTCATGCAGGCTATTAAGTGTTTCTTCATGCTGTGGAAGAGTTAGATGAAACAATGCCAGTAGAATAGAGTGGAGCAACAGGAAGGAGGTTCAGAAGCAGGTGGCATTAAAGCCCCTGGTGGTGCATAGGTAAGTACAGAAGAGGCTAATGAGTACAGTGCAGGTGTGATGTAAATAATACTCCCAATTATAAGCCTGGTGTAAGCTAGTTGGAAAAAAGTAGTAAGTGGCAGTTTGTAATTTGCAGAGGTAGCATAGAAAGGGTACCAGACCAGTAAGGGAATAGGGACAAAGGATGTGTTTGTGTGGATAGAAGTTGAACTCCATTGATCCTGTTTATTACATCAGAAAGAACAACAGAAATTTCTCTGTAAGCTTTTGCATTTTAATTGTAGCAAAATTACCCTTCTATTTTTATGTCTTGTTTCCTTTTTGTAATTTCTGAAGTGTTCAGAAGTGTGTGTGTTGACTTAGTTTTGTTACTTCAGTGATGGAGAACTCCACTAGCGTGAGGCAAACATGAAAGCCATCAAATTTGCATTATTCAGGAACTGTATGGAAATGTACTATTTATGACAACATTCCCCCAGTCCTGTGCCCGTGTAACACAAGATCTGTAATTTGAAGTGAAACACCATGTTTGGGAAGAAGTTTATTTTCACACGTACTCTGCTACAGACTATGCACTTTAAAAAGTAGATTGAGCCAGTCCAAAGAGCTGGTTCTGAAAACCCACAGTGTTCTCAGCTTTCATTGGCAATGGGAGGTTCTGGGAGCCTGGTTCAGTGTTGTACCTCTGATGTCATGAAGAGGAATCGGTTCAGTTATATGGGAATTGCTTGGATGCCATCCTTAAGTTTTTTGAGGGGAAAGAATAGCATCAGTTTCCATGTTTCCTTCTCTTACAAATTAGAGGATCAAGAAATTGTGTAACTTGCATTTATATTAAAAATAAATAGACACTACCATTTTTCTTCATCTTCATTTTGTTGTCTGTTACTTTTCTGGTTTTAGTGTTTTTTTGGTTTTTTTTTAAGACAAGAAAAGTATTAAAGTTGTTGCAGTGACTGCTTTCTCAATAAATGTGATCTTAGCCAGAGCTGCCACAAACACCTTATTAGAGTCACAAAACTGAACAGGAGTGATTAATTTATATCTGCTAGTGCTGGCTTCCAAAAAGAACACGTCTGAGAGAGAGATGAGGGGAACCCTGCTGTGAATGCCTGCAGACAGATGGTGAAGAACAGGAGCTTCCACAGCAGCACAGTCTCATTTTCTTTTCATGAGCTCTGTGTGTGTGTTATACACAGTTCTCAGGCTAAGTCTGACAACAACCCACAAGAAACGGTGTGTGAGATGAATCCTCATTTCTGGGACTTTGCATGGTAAATGCAGCCTATAGGAGCCAAGCTGAGGATACACCAAAACAGATCCAAAATGTTGATAATTAAACCTCAGCTTCTTGTAGTTAAAAGTATTGCAGTCTTGATGACATTTAGGATGTGATGAGTTGTGGCAATTGGATCCAGCCTAATGAGATGAGAAAAGAAAATACAACCCAGACTGAACATCTCTTTGCAAGATACTTCATGTATTTTTAAATTATTATCAGTACAGTAGTAAAAACTTTACTAGTCAAAAATATGAAACTTGCTGCAAATTAATCTTATTTACATTCATTCAGAGGTGATTACTGTCAATAAACCACAGCTGAAATCAAGGTTCAGATGCTATTTCTAACATATCATCAGTACTAGGAAGAGTGGTTTGTAGTGATCAGAACAGAAGTGAATGGAGAAAACTCAAAGCTCTCAAGCTCTGAGAATGGTCTTTGCATTGTGGTTTTGGAGAAAAAAGGAAGGGCTTTATAAAGGAATGTAGCATGGCTTGCCTTCATTGATATTTTAAATTATCTGGACCAAAAGAAATCCAAACCTCATAAACAGTTCAGGGAGAAAAAGCTTTTTGGGTTTTTGCCTTCACATTCTTTCTTTTTGACAGAATGTGCTTAATTAATATCCTGTTCACCACAGCCATCTATGCAGAGAGAAAAATCTTTGTCCCTGCTGTACTTTCTAAAGCAATTGGTAACCTCTCTGCCCTTTGCTTTAGCAGACATCTGAAAGGAATTGCATGCTCTTTGTAAAGAGAATCAGTGTGCAGGTTACAGCAACAGGGGTGATAATTTATAAGCAAGTATCTACAGTTTTTCCAGGGTTCTTGAGTGCCTGTTTTCTTTTATTCACAGCATTCAGGACTTTCTTTCTTGGCCCAAGCTCCATCTGAATGCTCTGTAGATCTTCATCTGAACATAGCATCAGGGCATCTAAATCAATTTTTTCCCTCATGAAGACTGGAAGAAACTCATCCAGCATCTGTGATGCCAGAAACACTTCAAGGGGTGTGTTCTCTGCTTCCTCGTCATCCCAAATGACTTCTTCCTCATTCCAAGGGATATCAGCACCATTTTCAGCATCACCTTCCCTGCCATTCTCAGCATTTTCATACTGAAAGAGCTCCCTGGACATTGTAAAGCTGACACCTTCTTTCTCGGAAGACACAGTTCCAGGATTTACATCTGCAGCCAAATTCCTTCCAAACACAATCTTGCCGAGACCCGGCCGCTGAAAAATGGAGAGCTGACTGTCACTATCAGCAACGTTTTTCTCATCAGGGTCGTTCAGTAACTCCTCCTCCTCTTTCTCATCAAACAAATGCATCACATTTCTCTGACCTGTATCATCCTCTTGGTCATTTCTTTGTGTTTCCTGGCTTCTTGTGCTGCCAGCTATCTTTTTTGCCTTCAGTTTCAAGGTATCTTTCAGGTTTTTGGAAAAAGTACCTGTGGTATTCGAAGCAAATAGACCGGGCAGCTTTACTCTGGAGTGCGTTCCTCTGGAAGAAGTCACTGTGCCAGCCTTTTCTTTCATATAATTCCGGTTCATCTCATGCTGGTGTTTCTCTTGGCGCTTCTCACACTCCTTGATTTGTTTCTCAACGTTCCTCTGGGCCTGTGCTTTTTGTTTCTCAGCCTTCTTGGGGTTCATCATGATCTGCTCGATGGCGGCTTTGTCCAGGATCTGGACGCACTCCTTGCGGTCCCTGCTGGCAGCCACCTCCAGGGGAGTGCGGAGGTCATTGTCCAGAGCAAAGATGTTGGCACCAAAGTTGATCAAAAAAGAGACACAGTGGAGGTGGCCATTGCAGGCAGCGTGGTGGAGAGGCGTGTTCCCCCAGATGTCACACTTGTCCGGGTCTCCTCTGAGAAGGAAAACAGCACACAGTGAGCTGGGTGTTCCCACACACAGCACTGCAGTGGGATTGAACAGACACCAAACATTCAGCTCTGCTCTGCTCTGAGGAAAACAGCCCAGTGACAATGGGTCAGCTTGGCTCCAGCCACTGGAACGGGGCTGCACCCACTTACACAAGCCCTGAGCTGCGTGTGTGGCACAAGCTCTAAATGCTGCCTGTCTGGGAATTAAAGGAGCTCACAGGGCTGGGTGTGACTGCTCATACATCCCCCATAACAGAGCCAGGGCAATTCCTTTGTCATCCCGGGGTCTGGCAGCTCAAAGTGGGCTCAGGCTTTGACTTTGACTTACTCTCATTGGAATTATTGGCAAAACTGTTTCAATAGCTTTTGCATGGAATATTTTAAAGGGGTTTTGGTGACTCTTCTGTTTTGCATGTGAAATGCAGGGACAGTATTAGGAGGTTTCCTCACTGACCACAGTGATACATATTTAATGAGTACATGCAGTAACTTTTGGGGTAAGTAATAGGTAAATGACTAAGAGTAAAGCCCTGGTTACACATTTGTCTCTATTGCTATTAGTTTAAACCCAGACAGATGCCATTGTTTTTCTTTATCTCTTTTGTTCTCCTTTAGCTGCTTTTGCTCATGGGGGTTTGAAAAGCAGAAGCTCATTTGAAAATAAAATGCCACATTTTTCAATTGAATTTAAAACCAGTGAAAAGTATTGCTTTATTTTTAACTCTTGCACTGACTTCACACTGAACTGCTGCCTGCAGACAAGAGTCAGCTTGAATATTTCGGTACACATTTGGCAGGATCAACACTAGCAATGTTCAGAACAGAGCTTGTGGCCTCTTGTGACCAAAAACCAAGGCAGCCACAGCAGCCCAAAATCTTTAACAACTTCAGAGCCAGGGACCAAATTTACAAGGAGAATTTCTACTCTTGGGAATTCAAGCATTTCAAGCCTTGGAGGTTGGTGCCACGGCAGCTGTACTATCAAAGAAGTGGCATGTCCTGTCGCAACACGTCCTTCAGGCCCTGATCTCTGGCTTTGAGTCTCCCTGAAGAAAAGCACTACCAGCTTTGTTGAGGGCCAAATCTGAACATGTCCTTCAGCCTGAAGTGCCCCAGGCAGGAGCAAGGTCAGGGTTCCCCGTGGAACAGCGGGTGAGAGTGGCCGCGGGAGCGCAGGCGCTGCCGCAAGGAGGTGGCAGCCGAGGATCAAAGTTTCTCCACTCAGACATATGCAAACCATGTGTACATATTTCTGCTTTTGTGGCTCTGCCCTGGGGAACTGCCTGACTGTGGCCAAACATGCCGGATTCCTGAATTCCCACATTAGCAAACAGCCTGCATTATCCTGAGCCTTGGAAGCGCTGGGTCATCCGGCCTCCCCCAGGTCCCTTCATAGCTGTTTGTGGCCTCTTTTCCCTGTGGAACCTGCCAGCCTTTGAGTCTCAAACAATTGACAAACTAGAATGGCTGCTCCCAGCTCAGTGGGACTTCGGATAAGATTTGACATCTACTTTGGGTTCTGATGCTCCTCCTTTCCCTGCTTTCCCAAGAAAAAGGCTCACTCAAAAGAGAGCAGATTCTGCTACGTGGTCTTGCTTTTATTCATGTACCTGCAAGACAAGTAGAGAAAATGTCTCCTGATGCCTGAGAAGACAAATTATTTCAAGATGAAAGGGGTTTATTGTTAGTATTGCCACACTTTCCAAGGGCTGAATGTGTTGCAAGCTTGAGAGTCCTAAAATCTGCAACCACTCTAAAGAAACCCACCCTGTACCTCAGAGCTTTTGTCAGGAAACCTCTTCAAGGAAATGACGAATTTGTTAAAAATAATTGAAATACTTTCTCACAAGAAAACATTAACTGACTGGAGAACAGATTGTAAGTCTTCCAAAATTCAGCTTCTCTCAAGAAAACCAGTGAGGCTACAGCCATATCTCTGACAAACACTGATCATGCCAAAAAATCTTAGATTAAAGTAGAGGTGAATGCATATATTTGAAGACTTTGAGTGTAAAACTGTCCCAAAGTGCTCCTTTACCAAGAAAAAGAGTTAGAAATTATTTTTCTTATATATTCCTTAGCTAGTCTTGTATGTGTTCAGGGACAAACCTTATTGACTAGGTATTTCCCTGGAGCTGCCTTAATTATAGAAGTTGAAAAACTGTCAATCTATTTTTGCTTCTCCTGAGGACACAGCAATAACCACACAGTCCAAAGGTCTTTTTTATTGTGATACTACAGCCACACCTGAGCTCAGTGAGCTATAAAGCAAATCTAGGAAAAAACATTTTTTTCAACTTCATTTTTAATAAAACTCAAATACCTCCAAACAGTCATTCAACTTTTCCCTCCAATTTTCTTTAAACTATTATCAATGGAAATACAGGTCAACTTAATCTTCATCTCAGCCCAGAAAGAACATTTCATTAATTGTATCTCTACACAAGAGCATATTTTCTTTTATTAGATATTAATATAGAATCACAGCTTAAAAGGTGGGCTCAGAGAAAGAGAATACGGATGGTGGGGAGGTAACTACCATTTCAGTAGGACATTTCAATCATGTAGGACATTTAAGTGATACAGCAATATTACTATCAGAAAATAAACCTGTAGAAAACCTTCTTTCTTTTTTTCTTTTCTTTTTTTTTTTCTGGTTTACAAGGATCCTATCACAGCCTCTGAAAAAATAGTGTTTTCAGCTTTAGCACAATGGCAGTTGTTAATACTACAAAAAGCAGAGAAATAGCCATCTTAGATGTTACTGTTTCAAAACTCTCAGTTGTGACTTGCCTCTGGACAGCATTAAATCTTCACAAGTGTCTACTGACTGCACTTTGGAAGCAAATGGGAGATCTTTTTTGCTCAAAATGTTTCAAACAATGCATTTCTCTGTAAGGCCTGTCTCAAAGACATCATCAAAAGGCCACCTTCTCCTCCACTACAGTGAGTCAAGGTCCCACCCAGGTCCCACTCCCTGCAGGCTCCATACACAATGTGGTCCCACTGATGCTGATGTGACTTCACCGACAGACCACCCCTCACAGGCTTTGGACCTAAACCACTGTAAACGAAGGAACAATTCTTGGCAATGCATTGAAAGAAATTACTGTGATTTTCAGCCTGATTTTTCAGGGTCTGAGCTCATTGGGGCATTAGAAACACGAGCACTCATTACAGTTTTGAGCCACAAGCTTTAAGCAATGGAGGCCGGTTGACTTACCCCCTCCGGCATATGATTTCCAGAGCCTCCAGATACCCATGGTAAGCTGCCAGAAGGGTGGGTGTCATCCCATCTTCGTCTGAAGTGTTGAGGTCTTTCCTAGTGGCTTCTTTCAAGAGGTCCAAGTTGCCATCGGCCGCTGCTTTGTGATACCTGCTCGACATTTTCAGCAGCTTCTGGTTTCCCAAGGCAGCTCTGAGCGATATCCAGACTGTACAGTCACTCCTCCATTACAGGGATGGTTCATTAATGATTACAAGTGGAGAGGTCCCTGTGAGGAGGAGAATGGGGAGGCAAAGTTCATCCTTGCAGGCAGCTTCTCTGGAGCTCTGCACAGGGAGCGAGGCCGTGGTGCAGGGAATGCTTTCATTTCCTGGGAGGCTCCTCTGCCGTTTACAGTTGGTTGCACATTTGACTACTTAAACATAGAGGGGATTCCTTCATCTTCTCTGTGTCTTTGCCTGACTTGTTCTGGGAAAACTGCAAAAAGACCTTGAACTTCAAAAAAACCTTCAAAAATTTCAAAAAGCATTCAAAAGGCTGTGAATGTCAGTGTAACCAGGTTTCACCCTAAGTAATAAAGTATCCCTGAGTTCCATGGGATGAAATGCATGAGCAGTTACCCATATTGGTGAAGTCTTTTGTAACCCATCTTTTACTGGGATGCTGCATTTGAAAACAAGCTACTGCCCTGCCAAACCAGGCACTTCCATGAAGCCATTTTGTGCACACAGACTGGTGTGGGGATGAAAACAGACCTGTCAGGAACAGGGTGGTGTTTGGATAAACCCCCCAGCAGGTCTGCGAGTCACAGCTGGCAAAACCACAGCCCTGTAAATGGCATTTCATCAGGGCATCTTCAGGAATTTGGCAAACATAAGACTCATCTCACAAGTATTGTAAGCTCTGGTTCAGATGCAAAAAAATGTGCAGGATTTCCTTAGGATAGCACAGGGAATTCAAGAAATGGTAACATGATTGGCCTGCACCCATTGCCCCTTCCTGGGCACTGTGGTCCTTGCCTGGGAATAAATGCGTCCAGTTCCCATCACATGTGAGCACTTCTTGCTTTAGAAATCATTTCCCCTGATTTCAGTGACAAGTAGAAACTTACAGAATTAGACCATAATTCTGATTTTTAGGTTTAAAACAATTACTAAGAGCAAGTCACATAAAAGGTCAGTTTTCAAACAGCAGCAGAGAAGTCACTAAGATTCTACCTGCAGCTTCATGTGGTGCTGCAGGCTGAGGGTTATTCTGGCCACATTCACAAACAGCTGCCAGATAAATGTTATTTTTTGCCAAGCTGTTTTCTGTGACTCACTGAATTAACCTGGATCTCAGAGACTCTGCCCTCAGCAATTAGCAGTGGGGTTTTGTTGCTTGTTGTGCTCCCATTAGAGAACCAGTAGCGACACAAACCAAATCCTTGCTTGGAGTTGGTGCAACCCCTGAATGGAGTTCTGCCACCTCATTTGCATCCCATAATGGCACCCATGTAATGCACCAGAGACCTCTCCAACTGGGCTTTCTCTCCTAATTATTTTCTCAGACAGGGATTGAAGAGCTCTTCAGGAATGAAATTGTACCAACATTTTTCTTCCCAGGAGGACAAGGAGAGTCAGTCAGATCAGGTGACAGGTTTGAATCTTCAAATAAATAAGTCTAGGTAGGACTAAACCAAGTCCCTGGTTTTCCTTCCCTGTGTCCTTTCCACAGACACAGCCATGCCCGGTGCTGTCCTGCCATCTCAGGGCAGTGAGGAAGGGCTGTGCTTCACCCAGGCCAACCTCCATCCCCACATTAGAAGATAGTTTCACCCTCAGGCCTTTCTCAAGTTCCCTGCACTGCATTAACACCTTTCTAATAAAAAAAACGGTAATTTATTCTGTGTTCTATTTAATCAGGCACTCAGCACTGAGTCAAATTTACAGCTACTAGAAAAAACTAGCAAAGACAGGTAATACATGTACATACATATACTTGTATATATATATATATACTTCAGATTAGCTGTTTCTTGATGCCATTGATTTTATTTTCTTTATTGGGCAGTGTAAGCCTTTTTACTCTCAAAAGTAAAAGGCACATACTACCTGTACCACCAGTGCCTGACAGGAGACAGGAACAGCCTTTTTCTTTTATGTTGGCATTTCATGTCCTTAGATACACCCACGAAAGTGACTTGGTGGCAGAAGAGTCCTTCTCATTTTCAAGGTTTATGATTTCTACTACAGAAGTACCTTCATTTGCTTTTCTCTTGATTAATTCAGCACAGAAAGTGTTGATCTCAGAGTGAGTTTTATCGTCCAGCATCTGAAAATATTGATCTTACAAGAACGTTACTCTGTATAATACTAAGTGGGAAACTATTGTTCCAGGTTTTAATTAGAGGTAAAGGAAAACCCATGTCAACTGGAGAGAAGATCCAAGACTTTGCAAGCTTCATTATTATTTATGTCACAAAAGTGGGCACCACAAAAAAAGAGAGAAAAAAAGAAAAGACCAAACAAAATCTTCATCTGTTTCTTAACTCCTGGTACTCGTTCATCTTTGTCCCATCCAAAAACCTCAACTTGAAATGCAATAAATGATTCAACATCAAATGAGCTAAATTCTCGGCCTGAATGGAGATTATTCTTTTGAGACTAAAGCTCAAAATTGTGAACTTTTTAAATTCCCCGGGTAGTTAGAATGAAGCTTTTCTTTTTGGGTTTGAAAAGAACTTCAAAACCACTTCCAATTGAAATGTCTTACCAGGCTCAAGAGAAACTCTGTCGTGATGGTACATGGTGATGTAAGCTAATGAATTATTTAACTGGCAGCTTTGATTTGTTATTGGATTTTATTAGGTATATGATTATTGATCTATTATTTTGAGAACTATCTTAAATAAAATATTACCCATTAAATGGACTATTTAGACTGAAAGGCTGCAGCATCACTAGTTATGTTGTTCTAGATAACTTGGAGCCCCGTATGCACAGTGATGTTGTGCCATCTGTTTTGCAGGAGGTATTATGCAGCACATTTCCTCAACCCAACTTTTATAAGCACCAAATGTGCTATGGTAAAGGCCATGCAAGGGGAGGCAAGTAAGTGTCTGCTTGCCTAATGAGATCTTTGGAACTAATGGGTTTAGGGAAGAATGAAATTAGTCACACTGGGTAATCGTGGCTACAAAATTCAGAGATGACGACAACATTTAAACAACAATAAAAGCTTATTTCTTAATTTCTTAGGGCGGTAAAACTGCTGTGCCCCAGGACACTGCTGCTGGATGTCCTCTTGAGCTCAGCCAGGCTGAGCATGACCCACACCAGGCTCAGTGTGACCCATGCCAGGCTCAGTTGACCCACACTGGTGCTGCCTGAGACCCATGATCTGGGGCCTAACATGATCACTGCTCAGGTGTGGGTCCAAGGGCATCCCTCACAGTGCCTTCACATGTCATTTCAGGAGCAAGGCCTTAATCAATAGGTAAAAATACTCAAAACTGAAAGGCAACAAAGCCAACTCTGCCAAAGCTCTGTCTCACCCCCACACCTCAATGCCCAGCCATACTGGGCACATAAAAGCAAACTGAGGGGCTTCTGTAGGGCTGGAAGCAGTGACATTATCTATTGTATCATAGTGACATATCAAATAAGTGTTTTTGCTGTGAGTGCTCAAAAGTAAAAGCCCTGACCTGGCATTCAGGCTCTTTGGTTTTGGGGAATTTTTTCCCCCCATGATATAATCACCAGTGCCACAAACAGTCCCAAGGAAAGCCATGCTGAGCTCATTGGTGTCTTAAGTGCTGCCAGCGTGTGAGGGACAGGGACAGCAAAGTGGCACAGAAATCTCCTTTTTAAAAAGTAACTGCCAGAAAGACAGGCATTTTTCTATTCACTATCTGACAAGGGAGTGAAGGGAGTACACAATCAGAGCAAGAAAAAATGCCTTCAAAATAGAGGGAAATAACAATCCATGCTAAAGACTCAGTATCACCTTAAGGTCTCCTGTGAGCCTTCCCATCTCAACGAGCAGCAGGTGCAAGTGTTCTGTTCCCAGGGCAGCAGAAAGGTGGCACCTGTGTGGAGCCAGACCCGGGTCCTATATAACCCTCCCTGGGCAGCCAGAGGGCAAGCTTGTGGTTCTACTGGAGAGATGGGGTTGTTTGTGGAGCAGCAGTGCTGGAGCACCTCAAGGATGTGGTGAGTGGGGTTTGGAGAGGGATAGGAAGCTGAGTCCTTTCCCTGCTGCTCTCTCAGTTGGTTCTCTTCCCTGCAGGTTGCTGCTCCTGTTTGGCTTTTTGCTGCCCTTAGCCCCTTGTGCTGATGGCCTGGGGGATCAGGAGCTCTTGGGTAAGGTCCCCTCTCTGGGCTGGCAGTGGTGTGGATGCGGGCTTTAGGCTTGCTTGGAGCTGCTTCCCCTCTGCCTTGGCTTGGAAGGGGGCTCTGAAGCAGGGCTGGCTGGGGGCTTGCAGGGTGTGTGCCTCAAGCAGCGTGGTAATGGAGTTCATGGTGGTCTTCCCTCTGCAGAGAATGTGACCTGTCACAGGGATGGGATGGAAGTTGAGTTTTCCAGAGAGCTTGGCAACTACTCCTGGCATGTGTGTGTTGTTGGTATGTATTGCTTCTGCCCTGGCCTTCCCTGCTGTAGCCTGGAAGCAGGTGCCTGTCTGCAGGGCTAATCTTTCATGTCCTCCCTAGATGTGAGTGGTGAGGAGGTCGTGTCCTGTGACCACGCTGTGGATTATGAGAGGCTGGTGCTCAGTGTCCCATTTGAAAACTGCACCAGCCTGGAGGTAAAGGGGTTTTCCTTCTGGGAAGCTGCTGTGATGGAGTGTGGGATTTCTTTTTTTTTTCTTTTCTGGATAGGACAGGGTTTAAAAGGGTTTCTAGTTCTAACTTTCTTCAAGAGTGAAAATACATACACTTTTGGTAACTAAAACCCTTACAGAAGAAGAGTTCATGTCAGAAGTTGAAAAAAAAACTATCAGAATTCTTGTTTTCTCAGTGGTGGATTAAACCCCTCAGAGCCTGCCATAAATGCTGTGTTCTCCTGTAAAGGCCTTGAGCTACTTTACAGATTTTCTTGTAGGGATATGGACCAGGTTCAAGTGTTTCAGAGTACTACTCTATTTAAATGTATGTATATTGACAGAGCAATTAACAACACATGCTAATCACAGCAGTTGAGGTAGAGTAGTAAATGGGAGGCCAAACCCAGAAGCTTTACTGGTATTTGTTGCTTTTAGGCATTTGAAATGCTAGAAGACTCTTGGTTTTGGCATTCATTAGCTTA